ACTTTGCATTTGATCAGAACTGCATTTCAGTACAGACTATAGCACAGGAATCTGTATTAAGACAGAGATCTTTATTAGGGTAGGGCTTATATTTTAATGCAGTATTAGAAGTAGAAATTGAACAATTGTTAATACTTAAAGAAATAATTTATGTACTTTTGATGTCAGTTATGCACATATTATATCCTAAATGTGTTCCATTGAGTTTTAGAGTAGATCTCTGGGTTTGTTTTTTCAGGGCTATAGAAAAATTTCCATTTATACTCTCATGTAGCTTTTCTGAGCCTTATGCAAATGTTGAGCCTAATGCTGCAAAATTCTAAGACGTTTGTCAATTAAAAAGTAGTTGGTTCTGTATTGTCTGAGAAGCACAGATTAAATTAATTGTTTTCAGGGGTGGGATTCTACCAGTTCGCACCTATTCGGTAGAACTAGTTGTTAACATTCTAAGCAGTTCAGAGAACTGGTTGTTAGAAGAAATTACTGGCCTAATCCTGTAAGGAAGGCAGGAAGGAAACATTCTGGTGTTGTTTACAGAAACTGCCTCTCCATTAACCCTTATTACATTCTTGGCAGGACTAGACTTCCTGTCTCAGGAACTTCTCTGGAGTTTTTTTCCCTTCCTTTGCTGGTACTTTGCTTGTGTGGAGTGACCATTCAAAGTTACAATGGCACTGAAAAAAGTGACTTATGACCATTTTTCACACTTACAACTGTTGTAGCATCCCCTCAGTCATGAGAGGCCAGGCGAGGAGATGCATGCCTCGATGTGAGTGATATTGAGTTGGCCACACCCAGCTAGTCACATGACCACCAAGCCATGTCCACCCAGTCACATGACCACCAAGCCACATCCACCACCTAAGCCACGCCCACAAAACCAGTTGTTACAAATTTGAATCTCACCCCTGATTGTTTTTCAAATTTTCATCCATTTCTAATTAGTCCAAATTGAATAATAGCTAGATGGTGACAATCAACTCCAGGTCCCTGTTATGTTGTTGGACTGAAGAAGCATACCTTCCTTGTCTCCTCCCCTTCCTCCCGAGATATGGATGGCACTCATTCTCCTGGGTCTGATTTCAGGCCTGGGGTTAATGTGCTCGAGAAACACCTGTTTGTGTAGGCTGTCTCATTTTGTATAATGTTTTTAACTGTTTTGATCATGTATTGGATATTGTGAGTTAGCCAGAGTGTCCTGGTGTGTGGGCAGGCTAAATAAATAAATATAAACAAAGCAACCTACGCATCTGCACCTGCTCCTTCAGATGTTTGAAGAATACCTTGTTAAATGCTTAAAACTGAGTTTTGAGCAGTTCTTCAGAGGAGAAGCAGTTAGCCAGACCCAAGGGTGCAAGATGAAAATGGAAAAGTTTGCAAAAATCAGGCTTGTGCCATTTGTGCTGCAGATGGGATGGCGTATTATTTGATTGGAATGGTAACAATACCAGCCCGATTTTTTTCATAGTGTGGCATTACCAACTTCAGCTCTTGACAGTTTTTTTTCTTCCTTCCATTCAATCGTGTCTGATTCTCAGAGACTGCCTGGACCAGTTCCTACAGTTTGCTTGTCAGAGTTTTTCAGAAAGTTTTTCATTGCCTCCTTCCAAGGGCTGAGAAAAGGTGACTGGCCCAGGGTCACCCAGCTGGCTTTGAGCTTAAAGCGGAACTAGAACTCAGGGTCTCCTGATTTCTAGCCTGGTGCCTTAATCACTACATTCAGCTGGCTTTTCTAGACACCCCAGCATTATCAGTTATTGTGTGCTTTAATAATAAGTCTGAAACTACTGCACGTGCTGTGGTGGCACTATGGTTAGAATGCAGTATTGCAGGATAACTCTGCTCATTGCCAGGAGTTTGATCCTGACCAGCTCAAAGTTGACTCAGCCTTCCATACTTCAAGGTGGGTAAAATGAGGACTCAGATTGTTGGGGGCAATATGCTGACTTTGTAAACTGCTTAGAGAGGGCTGTAAAGCACTGTAAAGTGGTATATAAGTCTAAGTGCTATTGCTATTACTAATGTAAGATTTTTTGAATATAGTAGAGTAGAGCAAAGGCTGTTTTGTGGTAAATTGTTTTCATTCTAGGTACCAGAAATGACTTGCAGATATGCAGTTTGATAGTGTATAAATCAGGTGAATACTTAGGTGAAAGTTATTTTGACTAATCTTATTTGATAAGTCAGATAGTATTTCTTGTATAGAATTTGAATTTTTGGAGGGGAAATTGCTCTACCAAATTCAGTAGAATACAGGATTGCTTCTAAAGACCTATTACGTATTTAAAGTCATGATGTACTATTGCCTACAGAGAGGAAGGTGAAATCATTAGGGATTGCTTTGTAAGTATGAAAAATAATCATAGGTCACTTTTTTCAGTGCCGTTGTAACTTTGAATGGTCACTAAATGAACTGTTGTAAGTAGAATACCTGTATTTTTGCTTAATTGAGCTCACCAGATGTTTAAGAAAAACTGGGCAAGGGAGCAGCCAGCTTAAAGCCCATTGAGAAAAGGCAAGGTATAAACAATTGTCATGCTGAGTGAATGCAGAGCTAATGCACTAGAGGAAAAAAACAGGAAAATGGAGCTGTGACTTGAAGTTCAACTGTTTTCTGAATTTCTATTGGTCTTTAGTGATAAGCCCTATATTTTTTTATTGTGAGTGCTCCAGAAATTGTCATTAATTTCTGGAAAGTACTTGCTTCTGCCTCATATGATAGATATATTTGAGAATCTTCAACCTCATTTTTATTTTTGTTTTCATTTTATTTGTAAGCCATGAATTCATATGATATACTAAGTATAAATTTTGGCTTACTAACCATAGTGGCTGAATTCATACATGCCTAACTTTGAACATGGTGCATTTTCCTTCTCTTTTTTCACAACTGAAAGCCTTCAATGATTTAGCCTTTTTCTGATTCAATGTTTGTGTTATATGGATTGAGATGCAATTTCGTCTTCATTTACATGGAAAAAATAGTATTAAGGGCAGCTTTATAGTTTGTCAAGTCTGAATATTTGTAACGAAAAGTGTAAACTCGTGGGATTGCACCAGGAGCATTCTGCAAATGATCCATAATGTTTTGAGAAGCAAACTATGGCCCTAATTTTCATGAGAAACAGTTCTCCTTCACTTTGCACCTCTCCTTACTTTTTGCTTCCTTTTAGATTCCACAGACTCATGATTCCACTATGCATTAAGCTCTCTGAAACCTTGAGTTTCAACCTGGCACTTGACCAAAGTTATCATCTTTTTTATTGTTAATTAACCAATGTGCTCATCAATAATTTCTTCTTCTTGACTCCAGTAGTACTTGTGATTTCTCCCCACAGCCTCTCAAAGAGCAGTTTTCTCTATCTTGCCACATTGCAAAACAGTCCTGTTTCTTTAAGAATTGTATTATTGGTCACAGAATAGAGTCCCCAGTATTGGAACACCCACAACTTCTGGAGGCAGGTCATTCCACTGATTAATTGTTCTAATAGTGAGAAAACTCCTCCCTAGTTTTAGGTTGATTATCTCCCTGATTAGTTTCCATCCATTGCTTCTTGTCCTTCTTTCAGGTGCTTTGGAGAATAGCTTGATTCCCTCTTCTTTGGGGCAACCCTTGAGGTATTGGAAGACTGCTATCACGCCATCTCTAGTCCTTCTTTTTATTAAACTAGACATACCCAATTCCTGCAACCGTTCTTCATATGTTTTTAGCCTCCGGTCCCCTCTGTTCTTTTTAAAATCGCCTTTCCTAACCTATAAAATAGGAACCATCCTACAAGATGAAACTTCTACAGGACACCAGGTTGAGGAAAACTGTTTCACAATCCCAGACTGTAATGGCTGCAGCACCTAAGACCTCCTCCTCTTTGGTTTTTGCTAGCTGCTTCAATCCCAGCTAATGTTGCTTCTGTCTTTTCCTAGATTAACCTCAGCAAAGTAGGTGAATACTGGTGGAGTGCCGTTTTGGAAGGCGAAGAACAGATCGACATTGATAAAATCAATAAGGAGCGTTCTATGGCCACAGTGGACGAAGAAGAACATGCAGTGCTGGACAGACTGTCTTTTGATTATCATCAGAAACTTCAAGGCAAACCCCAGAGCCATGAAATGGTACGTTTCATAAAACTCCACTATCAGTGGTGGGATTCACCCTTTTTTTACTACTGGTTCTATGAGAGTGCACTTTGCACACACACATCTAACGCACACTTTGTGTGCGTGCGCAGCATTCATAAACCACCAATTTTAAGCTTCAAAACTGACCTTGTATTCAGCACTGGTGAGTAAAACAGCTGAGGTGCGGCAATCCATTCTGCTGCGGGAATCAGCTGAGCTCAAAAACCAGGAAATAAAGCACAGGAAAGGGTGGGTGGGCGGGCGGGGTCAACTGCTCACCGGTGCTACCACTAGAAGCAGTGTAAACTGGCAGCATCCCACCACTGCCCACTGCCCTATGTTAAAGTAGAAAAATAATAATGGTTTGCTTGATTGTTCCTTGTTGCTATTGGAGATGGTTCTTTTCTTTTAAAAAAATATGCTTAATATTGGGTTTTACCCTTCTAGGTTGGTTTTTTTTAGCTGAACTGCTAAATAAAATGGATATTTGGTGATGTTCTTTCTTAAAGGGCTATTGGAGGGTAAACTCAGTTCACAGCTCTCTATGTGAAGTACCAGGATGTATCTAGCTTGCAAACTAGCTGAATTCATCAATCAAACAAGACCTTTTGTAGGAACTAAACATTTTTTTCATCTTGGTTAATTAAAGAATGGAAACCACTGTTTAAAAAACAACCAGCTGTAAATACAGGAACACTCCTGAGCATAACTAAAGATACAAGATCCCATTCACATTATATACCAAAAGTAACAATGTTGTCTTGTAACTTCATCCTAAACCATGATGTTTTATGATGAGAATACATTTTATGTCTCCTTGCTCCTTTATGCTGTGCTCTTCCTGGTATAGCTGCAAATTCATATACATTTTGGTTTCCATTAGTTATGACTTGCCATATTGGCCAATCTGTACTACTGTACTATTCAACTTCCAGATATGCTTTATCAAACCACTGCCATCAACTATTAAGAATAATCACAGTTTAGGAATGGGGAGGAATACTGTGTCTATTCCAACCTGCACTTTCTCAACGTATTGGACCTTCAACTTCCAAAATTCCCAACCATCATAATCAAAACCATCTTCAAGGTATAATTCCATTTTAGTTGAAAATTTGGAAAATGCAGTCCCCAACGTCTGGAAAGTTCCAGGTAGGGAACATTGCACTAAACAGTTGAAAACTCTTAAACACTCCATCAGATAGAAGGCCGAACTAATGGGTTTGTAGTGATATTCATGGCTCTCACTCCCATCAGAACAAAACCACGGGCTTGAATTGATTTGGTTTCCTCGCATATTTTAAATATCTGTCTGCAATCCCTTGAAAATGCCTGGCCTTTAATTTAAACCAGGGGTGTCCATCCAAGCTTGGCAACTTTAAGACCTGTGGATTTCAACGCCCCGACCAGCCCTGATTTAAAGTATGGGTATTGGGCCACCCTTGCAAGGGAAAATTCATCTCTTGAGCTTTTGCCTCTGCCCTATTTTCAGAAAGTCCACGAGATGCTGAAGAAGGGCTGGGATGCCGAAGGCTCTCCATTCCGAGGACAGAAGTTCGACCCTTCCATGTTCAACATCTCTCCGGGGAATATGCATTTTTAATGGTATCAGCAAGTGAGGAGGAGGAGGAGGAGGAGAACATCGTGGCCTTCATCTTTGGCACGAACCTGATGCTACTGCCAGACTCTCTTGCATTCGGTGCTAGAAGGATCTCTTGTTGTCCCTGCTTGTTCTTGGAGGCTTGTTTGTAAAATGACAAGATTGTTAAAAATGATTGGTATGTGTGGGCTTGCTTTTGGGGAGGGGGCAGAGAGGGAATTGAAGTGGGAATGTGGGTGTAAGTCCTTCCCTCCAGCGCCAGGTTGGTGCTTTTGATATTTATGTGGGGGAAGCCTAGCAAAAGCAGCATTACGTACTGTGTCACCACGGCAACCAGCAACTGCTGGTAGCATTTCCTTGTCTCCTTAATGGATTCATTTGTTGCTTGGGGGAGGGAGGAGAAGAGGAGAGCTTGGTTGAAGGTATTCCTCCTCCCCTTTTCAGAAATAGATGCAGCTGGGTGAAATGGTGACAACTTCTTGCTCGCTTCCTTGAAACCGCCTCCTCTGTGTGTGTGTCTGTCTCCCTGCTCTCCAGCTTTGGGTTCCCCAAAAGCTCCTCAGTGTGCTGGGCAGCAACAACCCCCGGACAATCTGCAATCAGTGTCATTTGAGCATGATATAAATTGTGGGTTTGGTCCTCAAGACCCAAGGAGTGGGAGGGGAACCTTGGAGGATCACGCAAGTCCGTGGAAAGGAGCCAATCCAGAAGGTGACACTTGCACCAGCATTTCTATGATAGCCTACAAAGCCTGGCCAACAAATAACCAGTAGAAAAGAGGGGCACACTTACAGGTTCTTCATGCTGTGGTTTTCCTTGTGTTTGTGATTTAGATATCACAGAATCTCAGAAAACTGCAGTACTCTCCCCCCACCCTCTTCCTCCCTCTCCCCCGTTTCTCTCCCTCCCTTTTCTTCTCCCCCTCCCTGCCCCTCTCTCCAAATGCTCTAGCCAGGAAGCTTTCTGAGCTCATGGCCCCATTGTCCTCATTTCCCCACCTATGATTATATGAAGTGCATAATTGTATTTTATGCATTTCTGGGATTTTTATCAACAGGAGATGGGGGGTAATCAGGACCATCTGGCAGAGATTTTAAGAGCCCCTTTTGTATAGAGCGGTCCCAACAAAATTAGCCTCCCTCCCCCCAGCTGCTATTTGCCCCAGAAAGAAAACTGCTATTAAGGCCAATGGTAATTTTCCTCCTAGGGCAGAGCAGTTTCCATATGTATGTGTGTATGCATGTGGCCATTGTGATTATCTTCTTTCTAACTCTTTTTTTAAAAATAATAATAATATCAAACAAGGAAAAGTCACCCTCCTGTAGCTGGACAGGCTAGATCTTTTTAGGGACCTTTTAACTAGTTCCACACTTGTGCTATTACACAAGAACCCTCTACGTAATGAGAAATAGCTATACACAAAAAAGGAAATAAAAAGATGCTACATTTCCTTTTGTCCATTTATAAAAAAAAGTCCCAACCCCGTCAAAATATTAAAACACATTTTAAGTGAGTTGAATCTGTAAACGGGCTTCTCAGAAACTAAAATAGCTGTCTCCTCTATCCTGAAGGAGGGTTCCACAGACAGAACACATACTGTTTGGGGGCTCAATTTCCCCGAGGGAATTATAATTCTGACAACAAAGTCCATATAACAACCGCAGAGTCTAATTTCACAGAAAACGTGTCCATCCAGAAGGGGTTTCACCCCATGACAGCTGGGCACAGAACTGACAAAAATATTGGCTTTTTCAGAGGTGATTTTTTCATCTTCTAGCAAGCTGGAAGACAATTGAAGAAAAAAAATAAAAGTAAAATGAGGATGTCACCTAAGGAACCAGAAAGCAACATATAATGTCAAAGAATATGAATATTAGGTTGACTGGAAACATGTTGGTTGTTACCTGTATCATTTTAGACTATGATTGAATGAAATACTGAAACTGCACAAAACATCCCATTAAAACACCAGACTGGCTTAGAGACAAATGCATTCACTGGGTCTGCCTCTGTGTGTAGGTTGGCTAATGGGCCATCTATGGTTTGATTTGCCAAGCTTAGCATGACATGCAATGGTAGGGTTCTAGTAAGAAATGAGAGAACATAGCCATGGTTTATTTTTAGTGTGTTGACAGCATCATTCCTGAATTATTCTAGCAGATGAAGCCAGGGTCATCTTGTTGGCTATACGTGCATGATGAGAGAGACAATGAACTGTTGAATCACCTCTTATGGCTTACAGGAATATGCAGATGTTGAATCACCCTGTGGTTGAAGTGGAGAGAATATTGTTCCAATGTTCACAGTGGGAAAGGATTCATCCCTCTTTGAGAAACATAGTTAAGTGCTCCCCATTATAGAAAGCTTTATGGAGTGTGAGCTTTGGAAAGGACCTAGACAAGGGCTTAGCAATCCAATCCTAAGAGACAGAGTGCTGTGGCCATGGTGACAAGGCAGTACCCAAGAACCATTACGTTGGCAGAGAGCAGCCATTTTGCTACATGCTTTGCGATGTATTACATGCCCTCAGGGTAGCAGCTGCCATGCCACAACAGCAATGATTGAAGCAAGCAAATGGTCAGCTATGATGTGATGGGCAGGGCTGGAATCCCAATCCCACATGTGCAAGTTGAAGGTGCCTTTGAAGTGGGCTTGCACTTGCTTCAGAAGATGGTGGCAACAGCTGCCACTGGAAACAGAAAATGCATTTTGTTCAATAGTGGCCATTCCTCTGCAATCCAATTTCTGAGGAAAGAACAGTGGTATGTTGGTCATAGAAAGCAGGCCTGGATAATTTTGCACTCTCTGGATTTTTAAATATACACTGCTCAAAAAAATAAAGGGAACACAAAAATAAGACATCCTAGATCTGAATGAATGAAATATTCTTATTAAATACTTTGTTCATTACATAGTTGAATGTGCTGACAACAAACTCACACAAGAATTATCAATGGAAATCAAATTTAGCAACCCATCAGGTCTGGATTTGGAGGTACACTCAAAATTAAAGTGGAAAAAAAACATTACAGGCTGATCCAACTTTGATGTAATGTCCTTAAAACAAGTCAAAATGAGGCTCAGTAGTGTGTGTGGCCTCCATGTGCCTGTATGACCTCTCTACAAAGCCTGGGAATGCTCCTGATGAGGTGGCGGATGTTCTCCTGAGGGATCTCCTCCCACACCTGGACTAAAGCATCCCCCAACTCCTGGACAGACTGGTGCAACGTGGCGTTGGTGGATGGAGCGAGACATGATGTCCCAGATGTGCTCAATTGGATTCAGGTCTGGAGAATGGGCGGGCCAGTCCATAGTATCAATGCCTTCGTCTTGCAGGAACTGCTGACACACTCCAGCCACATTGTCTTGCATTAGGAGGAACCCAGGGCCAACCACACCAGCATATGGTCTCACATGGGGTCTGAGGATCTCATCTCGGTACCTAATGGCAGTCAGGCTACCTCTGGCAAGCACATGGAGGGCTGTGTGGCCCCCTAAAGAAATGCCACCCCACACCATTACTGACCCACTGCCAAACCGGTCATGCTGGAGGATGTTGCAGGCAGCAGAACATTCTCCACGGTGTCTCCAGATCCTGTCACGTCTGTCATATGTGCTCAATGTGAACCTGCTTTCATCTGTGAAGAGCACAGGGCGCCAGTGGCAAATTTGCCAATCTTGGTGTTCTCTGGCAAATGCCAAACATCCTGCACGGTGTTGGGCTGTAAGCACAACCCCCACCTGTGGAAATCGGACCCTCATACCACCCTCATGGAGTCTGTTTCTGACCGTTTGAGTAGCCACATGCACATTTGTAGCTGGAGGTCATTTTGCAGGGCTCTGGCAGTGCTCCTCCTGTCCCTCCTTGCACAAAGGCGGAGGTAGCGGTCCTGATGCTGGGTTGTTGCCCTCCTACAGCCTCCTTCACATCTCCTGATGTACTGGCCTGTCTCCTGGTAGCGCCTCCATGCTCTGGACACTACGCTGACAGACACAGCAAACCTTCTTGCCATAGCTCGCATTGATGTGCCATCCTGGATGAGCTGCACTACCTGAGCCACTTGTGTGGGTTGTAGACTCCGTCTCATGCTACCACTAGAGTGAAAGCACAGTCAGCATTCAAAAGTGACCAAACCATCAGCCAGAAAGCATAGGAACTGAGAAGTGGTTTGTGGTCACCACCTGCAGAACCACTCCTTCATTGGGGATGTCTTGCTAGCTGCCTATGCTTTCCACCTCTTGTCTGTTCCATTTGCACAACAGCATGTGAAATTGATTGTCAATCAGTGTTGCTACCTAAGTGGACAGTTTGATTTCACAGAAGTGAGATTGCCTTGGAGTTACATTGTATTGTTTAAGTGTTCCCTTTATTTTTTTGAGCAGTGTATTTTCTCCTGCAAAAATGAGCTTTTAACATTATAGCCATTCTCTGGTTAATGAGGTAGTTCCTTACTCATGTATTCCATCAATTATATTCCATGGCCCTTGTAGGTTTCCTGGATGCACAGATGAATGCCTGTGTCCCAAACAGCACCTAGTGTTAGACCAGCTTCCTGTAAGCAATCAGTACAGCTAACAGTACATTTGTTATTCTAGTGCCTAATTTTTTTTTTCCTTAAACGAAAAGAGCTAAAGAGTTGAGGGCTCAACTGCCAGTAAGTGCTTCTCTGTTTTTACATAATTTATTATTTCTAAAGCACCTAAAATCAACCACGGAGCAGCTTTGAGGTTTGTCCAAAGTGCTGTGGGTGGTTCCTAGGAGCACATTATTCTGAAGAACTTCACAAGACCGGCTACTGATTAGTATTTTGTCCCCTGTCCACCTACACATTTCATTGTTGAAATCTTAGAAGTAATGTTTGTGGGCATTTCTGAGTTGGAGTTTCTGTAGAAACACATCACTTCTGATTCCAGTGTGTTTGAGGGTGACTCTTAACAAGTCTGAAGTAGGATAATTCAAAAAGAGGGAAGGTTCTCTGTAGAAGAAATGCACCCTACTCCTTTTGGAAATAAAAACTCCTGGGTTCAGTTCACTAAACAAAGCAATCCAGCAGCTTGGTTAGATTTCCAGCCAAGAAAAAAAAAACCAGCAATTAGCTGGGCTGATCATTTTGGTGAGTCCATATAATGGCAGTTCACAGAACGTAAATTATCAAACCTTTTCCAAGAATAGCTTGTCACCATATAGATTTGTAGTAGTACATTTTGGCAAAATAGGAACAGGAGAGGACATGCTAAAAAAAAAAAGATAATATCAATTTGATTTTAGTCCTGCACAATTATTGAATCAGAAGTAGGGTGGGGAAGTGGGAAGAATTGAAGCTATGCAACAAAAGTTGAACCTTTGAAGAAAAGTGGTTTTATTTTTAATATATCTAATCTTCAACCCAACAGCAGTACTGTATAGTCAGGTCACTTGGCATTCATTTGGTTTCAGATTGCACTGAGCTCTGGCCTAGCTTTCTGCTAGGAGAAGATAGCCTCCAGGATATTTATTTGGTTTTTAGAAGAAATTCCTCTGCTTATTCTGCACCCATTCTGTGTTTTGAATGAACAGGCCTGCGTTCTTTTGTCATCAGGTCAACAAAGGGACATCTAGACCAAGCCTGCATAGGGTAACTCTTTCCAGCTTTCTACAGCCCTCTAGTTCTCCATGGCAGCCTTTGTTAAATTCAGTTCTGCACCCTCATTGAACACCTGATGCAGAAGAAGGATTGTTAAACACTTAGCACTTAGCCTACAGTGCAAAACTGCCACAAATTGTGTATGCTTGGAGGAAGTTTATTTCTGATTTTACTTTATTTTGTTTTTATTCCCCCTTGCATGGAAAAAGGGTGATGTTTGAGGGCACTCTGTTTTGACTGACCCTTCTAAGAACTATGGGGGTGCTGTTGCCATGCACGATGTAGGAAAAGGGGTATGGTGCTTCAGACATCCAGTTAGTGCATATTCTCTTCATCTATCTGCTTGCAATAAAAGGGTGTTTTTTTGCAAGCAATCTCATGTCAGCATTCAAAAGAACGTTTCTCTCATTTAGGTAATGTACATACAATCTCCCTCCCTCCCTCCCTCTCCCTCCCCCTCCCTCTCTCTCTTTTTTTATCAAGCATTCTGTTGAACTTGGTGTTGTCTATTTTGATGATGCAGATAGGTACAATTCAATGTAATTTGTTTTGTGCTCCCCGATACTTTAATAATTTGAGACATTGAGTTAAAATCTGGGAAATTCTGCTTTGTTCCTAATCTGTAGGATCCACTCCTGCCCAGTTTGGCTGCATAAGACCCAATGTGTAAAGAACTAAAAATCTAAAGTTTTACAAGGCTTATGTCATTTATAAAGATGCAGTACTTCAGACAATTGCTACTTCTCTTCCTCACCAGTTTTGATGACAGACTTCCATAATCCAATTAAATATTTCAACAGTTCTATTAGAGAACTGTTTTTAAGATACTGGTAATCTATTTTTTTAGTTGTTGATAGAAATTGTGATTGTTTTAACCAAAACCTATCCATCAAAATGCAAAAAAAAAATAGCATACAGCAATTTATTGACCTAATAACAAAATGAAATTCTGGAAGTGAATAACATTCCCATTTTTACATCAAATTCTCTGGGTATTATATAATATGACATTAATATAATGTCATATTATATATAATAATAGGTACTTTATACAGTAATTAGTTTTACTGCCAACATCTCTCTAAACTTTGTCAAAAGTGCTGATAATACTGTTAAATTAACTTTAAACAGTTTCAACAACACTTCTAACTAAAGTGGCTTATAATATTGTGAATATTGAGATTTGACTTTCATAACACATAAGCCACAGATCATTTAACCACAGTTTACTGAGGGAATAAAACTGACAGGGCTTACCCAACTTACAAATCCGTAAGTCCTGGTTTTAAAAGTATATTTATAATTTCAGTTTCTACGGCCGCCCACTCACCAATGACTGAACAATTTAGGATTAAAAACAG